AGAGGCTGCGGGCAGCTTTGCAACCCAGTGCTCAACTGCTGCGCCACCGGGGAGGCCCCCACTTGCTTTTTTTTTGTGGGGGGGGGGGCAAATTTCCCCTGCCCATACAAGTAGCACTTGTCCACTCCTTTTCTCTGCTGCATAATGTTCAAATGTGCCATAGCTGCTTTTCGTCTCCTGTAGATGCGGGGGCCACCCAGCTGAGGCGTTCTGGCCCTTTCCTCTCATGCAGCCGCTCAGGCCCATCTGCCACTCGTCTCGGTCCTAATTCTCCAAGGCAACCTTCCTGTTTGGAACTTCTTCCCGTCACCCTTCACACGACCTCAGTAGCCGCCTAACTGGCCCCCACAGCCCCAATGTTGCACTGAGCCTATTCTCATGGCTCCTTTCTCCCCGATTCTGACATCCACACCTGATACCTCCAAATCCTCCCCTGGCCCTTGGACCCCAGCCCCCAGTTTGCATCCCTAGCATGCCCTTTGCATCCCCTCCAGAGTCTGGTTCTCACTTCTGCAGCACCCTCCACCCCGCACCTGCACCCTCTCTGGTCCTCCTAGCTCTCCCCCAAAGTCCCACCAGTTGTGCCCTGCCTTCTCCCTCACTGCCACTCATTCCTGTCTTCTCTTTCCTCCCAGGCTCCTCCCAAGCCTTATCTTCTCCCAGAAGCCTGCTTGGAACACCACTGAAGGTCATAGCTGGTGCCCTTGGAACCTCCCACATGATATATAGCCCGCTAAGCCTGCTCGCTGTTTATTTAAGTACAAGACTGCCCCCTCTGGGCGTAAACTCCTCAATGACACTGTCCACACCCCGTGTCAGCAGCGCCTGCGCTTCCTGGGTATCAAATGTGGGCTTGGCATGCGTGGTTCCTGTCAAAGCGCCCCTTCATCTTCTTATAGTCCTTAGCACCCCTTAAAAGTAGGCAAGTGCTGGCCTCCCCGGTGGCGCAGCGGTTGAGCGCCGGGTTGCGAAGCTGCCCGCAGCCTCTGCAGCGCCAATTCGATCCCTGGCTGCTCCCCGGCCACCGGAGGAGGGTCCCACATGGCGCACAGACCTCTCCTGCCGCCCGCTGCTCCCCTCAGCAGTGTACTTCGGTCCTTCTGCCTGCTCTGCTCCGCTCTGGCTCTGGTGAATTCTCTCACCCTCCTGCGCTTCTGACTGTACCCAGTGCCTGTATAAATAAATAAATAAATAAATAAATAAATAAATAAATAAATAAATAAATCTATCTTTGGGGGAAAAAAAAAAAAGTAGGCAAGTGCACTGAAAGCCAGTTGCCAAGGCCCAGGCCAGTGCTGAGGGTGTAAACGTGGGTTGGCAATGACGGGGGGCCCTCCTGCCTCCCTTAGGTTCTGTTTTCATCCACAATAACCTTCCCCAAGCTTCACCTCAGCCCCTCTGCAGGTCTCTTCTCTCTTCTCCCCTCTTCCTACCCATTTCCCCTCCCCAGCTTCAACCTCTCTTCCAGGAAGCCCTCCAGAGCACTCTGACCCCCAGACCTCGATGGTAATCAGCATCCAAGACTGCATTTTATTAACTGCTATAATGTGCTTAGTCTATTATGTACAGACACCTTTTTAGGTCACTAATCCTCTCAGTCAATGATGATCACCTCACCCTAATGTACAGATGAGGAAAAGGAAGTCCAGAGAGGTTGAGAAGCTTTCCCAAGGCCATAGAGCTGGCCTTTAGCAGGCGCAGGATTTCAGCCCTCACTGGGCTGTTTACTCCCCGGCAGCCAATCACCATCTGTTTCCTGGTGGGGCTGCTGCAGAGTCCCAGGTCTGAGAGTGTTGTGGCACTGGCCCCTAAAAGGCCAGTCTGGGCTGGAAGCTTCCAGCACCCTCGTGCCCAGCCGACTCCACCAGCCCCATCAGTTCAGCCCGTCTTTGAAACAGGGAGGCCCTCCACCGCCCCCACCCCGCTCCCTACCCCACCCCACCCCGATCCCTGCTGGCTAGGACAGAGGGCCTTTCAGCCTTGGCTGCTACCGTGACCACCTTCTCAGGAGGGGCTGTTTTTCTAAACTTTTGATCCTGGGGTGGAGGCAGACGGCAGGCGTGGGGTCCCTAGCCTGTGTGACGGGAAGCCACGTGATAGCCATTTGGCAAGTGTCCCTTGCCCGGTGTCCACAGGCTAATTGGCGGCTTTTAAGATGGACGGGACCTCTGGTGTAAACCACCTGAGTCGCTGCACGTATCAGGTGTGTGCCGCGGGGGTGGGAGTGGGGGTCTGTCTGCGCGCCCCCGCGCGTGGTGTGTGCGGTCACTGTGAATTCCCCACCCAGACAAAGCCCTCTTTGTCTCCTCGCTGACTCCCTGTTCTGTGAAAAGGCTCCCATTTGATTATTTTTACAGGGTGTTTCAGCCTTCTTTCTCATTTCTTCTGCTTCTCAGTAACTATTCCCAGCTTACTTCATTTTGCCTAGAAATGAACAGCTGGCTGCTGGGGAATTCTGCAGTCAGCGCCTAATTCCTGGCTTTGAGGCACTGTGTACCTCAGTTTCCCCCTGGGGTGTCTCTAGGAAGGATGGGGGAGTCATAGTAGTTTTCCTAGGAAGCCACTAAGCCAGCGAGTCTCCTGCCGTCCTGCGTAAGCCAGGCTGCTCATTCTTAATGCTTCCTCTGCTTACTGCTGTCCTCCCCTGTGTCTGTCTCCCCATCTATAAAATGGGGTAAGAATCATTTCTAACTCAGAGTTGTTGTGAGGATTACATGGATGTAACGCTTCCGCAGCAGTGTCTGGTACACGGGAGAGTTCATTACGTTCATCATCACCACCGATAAAAATTCCTTGTCCCCGATGTACTAGGCCCCAGAGGTCTTCTGTCTGGGTCTCTTTCTTCTCGTCTGTCCTGCCTGCTGTTTTTGCCCAGGATGTTTCTCAGGTGAGAGGTCAGGGGTCTGGGAAGCTCCCAGAAAAGCAGAGTGGATCCTTTCCTGTCCTGCTCTAGAGACTGATCTCTGGGGGGGGGGGGGTAGAGGGGGGTTGGGGGGTGGTTGGTTGTTGTTCCCACAGGAAGCTGAGTCCCTGCGGCCCACACCCCACTCAGCATGCCCCGCTGAAGGACCACTCTGTCTAAAGCGCCCTCTACTGGCCGTTGGCAAGTCCTTGGACAAGGGTGACCCCTTCATGGTAAGGTGACGGAAGAGCTTTCTGAATATCAGGATAGGGGGTTCTTTTGCCCAGGGCAGAGCTGGGAGTGCTAACTTCCCATCTTCCAAATGGCCCAGTTGTAGTATCCCCTTTTTTGCTAGCCTGAGAATAGGTTCCAAAGATAGCTTCTTTCTCCCTATCAGGGCAGAAATGCTAGGCCGAGAACAAGTTGCCCCTCCTAACAGCTGCAGATGACAGGAAGGCGAGACCAGACAGTGTGTAGAACTTCTCGACAGCAACGTGTGATGGGGGTGGGGAGTTGGTTCATACTTGAAAGGTAATAACAGAGGGAAGACCCCACCACCACCACCCACCCACCACCCCCCACCCCGACCCATGAGATCTGCCAGACCGGTAGGGAATTACTAATTCCGTAAGACCAAGGTACTCAGAAGATGGTGGTCCACAGCAGTGTCCCGTTTCTCATGTTGTGAGAACTCTCATCTGCCAATGCCTGACCCATGTCCAAACTCACCGGCCTGACAGTTACCATATCCCCGTGGGAGAAATTTTAAAGGACTCTACTGGAAACAGGGGATACTGAAGTTAGGTTGCGAGGACTGTCCTGGAGTGAGGCTGGGTGTGTCTTGTCCCTGGAGTCCCTAGTGTGGGAAGGATGCCACTGGGCCCAGCTTACACAACAGACCCTCTTCAAGGGATGGGATAAGGGGCTGGGAGCTGGGCAGCCAACACCTCTGGATTCTGCGAGGCTTTCTAGGAGCTGGCGGGTCCCAGAGGGTAAGAAGGGGCAGGGGAAGAGGCCACAGTGGATTTGTGGATAATTGTTTTATTGCATTGTAGAGAATGCCGTCCACACAGATTACATGCAGCTAGTTCTATGTACAGGGCCTGGCAGCCTCCACAGGGGATGGGAGGGGCAGATTATAATACACAGCAGTGCTAATTCTTTATAGTGTCTGGTGGGTGAGCCTGCGGGCTTGATGTGGGTGCTTTGAGACTCCAGACCGAGCACTCCTGGCCTGACCTGGCTGGGCCCCTCCAGGTATACAGGGAATTCACCCCAGGCTCCCGTGTGTCCAAAGGATTAAGGCAGGGGGAGGAGGTGGAGTGGATAAGAGGGAGAGTGAGAGAAAACAGATGGTCAAAAGGAGTAGAAAATAACCAGACAGGCCTGAGATGGAGAAGCCAGTGAAGAAAGCCTCAATCTCTAAATCTTAACCCCTTCCAATCCCACTTGCCCCCGAACTTGGTTATAGGAAAAGTCTGTGGAGTATAGGAAAGGTGATTTGGGGGTGACTTATTCTAGTTCTGCCGTTTTCTCAACACCTTCCTCTTTTCCTCATACTCCCCCCACTACATGCACACACACAGGCCTAACTAGGTAGACCCCACGAGGACACGGAATGTTGGCCCAGAAGGCCCTGGGGCTGAGGGGTGTCTGCACAGACGGAGGCCCAGGTAAAAGGGCCTGGCAGCAGCAATCTTCTCCATCGCTGGAGGAAATCCACTCTGCTGAAAACACTGGCAGGAACCTGGATTCCAAAGCCAAAAGGAACTGGGGCAAGGAGTGGTGACTTTGGGAGAAGAGAGAATGGAGAGACCCAGTTTGAAGAAACATACCAGAGAATACCAATATGAGGGGTGGAGGGGGAAGGGAGGAGCAGAAAGGAACCATTGGGAGGACCAGGCCAGAGACGTGGAGGTGCAGGCTCTCCAGCACAAGCCCTCAGGTGTCGAAGCCAGCCACCCATACACTACAAGAAAAGCACCCTAGGGAGCACCCCCACCCCCTCCCATGTCCAGCTGCTGCCTCCTGGCCCCAGCTCCCCAGAACAACCTTTCCACTCACCCCCCCCCCACCCCGCCCTCCACCACTTGGTGACACACGCAGGGCCCAGTGAATAGAGGACGTTTAATATTTCTGTGCTGGTCAGACGGAACACAGGTGGGGAGTACATGGGGAGGGGGCAGGGGCCCCCTGCCTCTGGGAGGGGTGGCTTGTGAAGAGGTGTATGTGGGGGTTTCTTGGGAAAGAGTCCAAGGAGTCTTCTCAGCAAAGGGACCTGGTCTGGGTGTCCCGAGTAACCAACACACCCAATCCTTGCCCTCAAATTGGGGTCCCCCATAGGGGGTCTGTGGAGTCTCATTTTCTTCCAGCTTCTTCGCCGGAATCCAACTCCCAGCATGATGGGGGGACTTGGTCCTAGAGAGGGGTCTGGAGAGCCCCCAGGAAGCAGCCCAGGGTGGGCTCTAGGGCTCATGTGCCCACTGCCGTGGGGTGCTGACAGCTGTCCCCTCCTTCCCTCTGCCCTCCTTCCTTCCCCCTGGCTAGGCAAGAGCTGAAGGGGAGAGGAGCAGGGCCCCCAGTCTCTACTGAGTCCCAGGGTCCTCAGGGTGGGGTGGAGGAGGGGTGGAGAGAGGGTCTTGGCCACCAACAGACACTGTAAACTTTGGTTTAAAACAATAACTTAAGTGGAGGGAGGGCTTCCAGCCTGGGGACGGGGTGGGGGACAGGAAGAGCAGGGGGTGAGGGAGGCGACAAAGGAAAAAGCCAACAAAAAGTTTTGGTTTTTGCTTCCGGCATAAGAAAGGTCTTTGGTCATCCGTTTAACTGGGGTGACAGGGAAGGGGTGCTGAGGGAGGGAGATGGGGGACCTGTAGGTTGGGGGCAGGGGTGGCCTGTAGGGTGACAGTAGCCACCATATTAATCCCCCCTGACCCTCAAGCCCAGAGTCAGCCTGGCCTTTCTGGGCAACCGAGGCAGCTGCTTCCTCCTGGAACCACTTCTGGCCCCAATTCCAGCCTCCAGGGTAGCTGGGCCCCTTCAGCGGCTCCACCTCTAAAGTCTACCTGGCACGGGCCTCTCTGTGGAGGAGGGTGTGCCAGACTCTTCCTGTGCTCCTTGGTGTGGGGGCCGCAGGAGGAGCCCCCAGCAAATGGGGATGGAGGGAGGCCTAGTGTAGCCAAGGTCCTGGCTCAGGTGGGGAGGGGCTGAGGCCTGGTCTTACTCCCATGGGCCCCCAGGGCATGCCATTTGTCCTACCCCAGCGATGAGTTTGGGTGGGTACAGCCCTGGCTCAGGTGGGGAGGGGCTGAGGCCTGGTCCTACTCCCATGGCCCCCCAGGACATGCCATTCGTCCCACCCCAGCTATGAGTTTGGGTGGGTGCAGCCCTCAGACCTGTTTTCTTCAGGGGATGGTCTGAAACCTCAGTTCCCCCACCGAGGCCAAGGCAGGGGCAGGAGTTGGGGATGGAGTTATTTCTTCACAGTACGGAAAAGAAGGTAGAAGGGAGCACAAATTAGGGAAGTGGGGGCCTCTGGCCAGAAAACACAGCCAGGGCCAGGTGCGAGGGGCCCTGGGTTTGAGAGGGGTGGCTTAGCCCCGCCTGCGGGTCTCCATGGTGCTGAGGGGCCCTGCCGGGGAGAGCTGGTAGGGGAGGAGGGCCCTGCTGCTGCTGCTGGTGGTTGGGGGAAGGCGGAATTCAGATGTAGGGGAGGTTCTCAGGAGGGGTCTGGGCCCCTCCAAGTCCTCATATGGTCCCAGACCAGGCATTCAGTGTCCCCTTGGGGGTGGGACCCTCCCCAAGCCCCCTCCCCAGGCCTGTCAGTCAGGTCACGTTAGGAGTCGCTGGCCCAGCCCCCTATCAGAGTCCTAGAAGTGCCTTGAGGTTTGGACAGGACTGTGGAGTGGGGGTAGGTGGGGCCTGGGTTCCTGAAGGCGGGGTCTCACCCCAGCCCTGCCAGCCCCCGGAGGCCCTTAGGACAGTTCCTCTCCAGGCAGCTCCTCCTCCAGCTCCCTGTCTTCTGGAGGCCCCGTGGTGCTAGGGTTGGGGGGGCCCAGGGAGGGGCCTGGCCGCCTGTCTTCCTCCGCCTCAGCCGGCTCCTCTTTCACCTGTACCTGGTGGCTGCGACAGAAGGAGTGGTGTGGGCACCCTGGGAGCTTACCCCTGTCCCTCCAAAACTCTCATCTAGAATTTTGGGGGCACAGTAGGGTATCCATAGCTCTCCTTTCTAGGAGCCATCATCCCAGAGCCACTGGGGCTTGCAAGTCTTGGGTCTGATCTCCCCCAGGGTTTTCTTCAAAGGGAAGGGGGCTTTGGGATGGGTAGAGGTGGCCTCGGGTGGGAAAGGAGGGAGAGTAAGTGGGGAAAAAAGGGGAGAGGAAGGAGAATGGGGGAAAATAAAAAGAAGGGGGAGAGAGGAGCATAGGAAGGGAGGGGGAGGTGAGGGAAGGTGAAGACAGGAGAGGCGTGCAGAGAGGGGGAGAGCACACGGAGGACGCGAGGACCAGGTGCTGGGGAGTGGGCCGTGGAGCGGTGACAAGATGGGGATCCCACCTGCAACGGGAGATTGCTCCTCCCTCAGGGCACTGGGGCAGGTCATGCTGCGAGCTCACCTGTACTGGGGTGGGGAGAGGCGAGGGGGGCTGCTGCTGCCATTGCTGGGCAGTGGCTCCACGGGGGCACCCACGTCGTCATGGCTGAGGGGCAGGAGGCTGCTGGCGGAGCCGGGGTTCAGCATGCCAGGGCTGTTGAGGAGGGGGAAGCTGCTCTCGGCCAGGGCGGCCTGCAGGCACAGTGTTAGGCCCTGTCAGTGGGCTCCCCAGGCAGGTCTGGGCCTTTCTCCAACCCTAGTGGGTCTCCAGTGTATGTGCGGGCCCCGGAGACACATTGATCTTGGCCACCGTGTGCAGACTCGGCCTTGAACACAGCACCCTTCCCAAGGCCAGAGCTGACTCTGACCTCTGGCCTCGCAGCTTTCCTGGGAACCTGGGCCTCACTTATCCCTCTCCCCAGGAGACAGAGGACCCCCAGGCAAGGGGGCGCCATCAGTTATGCCAACCTCCTTGCCCTCTGTCCTGCCCCACCAGAACCCAGCCTTGAAGCCAGAAGTGGGGCTGGGCCCCGAGTGACTGGGACCGAGGGCTGGGGTTCCGGCACCCAGAGTGGTCTACACCCTGTTTCCCATTCCCCTCCTCCCATAGATGGGTCCTCTGCAGGGGCAGGTGGGGAAGGTCTCTTCTACAGGTCAGTGTGTGGGCCCGTCACCTGGTAGCTGGCATTAAGTGCTCCGTAACTGAGTCCCGAGATCATGTTCTTCACCAGGGTGGGGCTCCTGGGGAGAGAGAAGGAGTGTTTGGTCCATTCATACACACTCGTCACTCACTCCCTCCCCTGAGGACCTGCTCTGTGTCAGGGACTGTCCCTTCATTTTCTGGGGAGGCCAGAGAAGGACTGTCCACTGCTTGCTGAGTCCTGTGCCCTGGTGCGTGCTCCATGCTCACGATGACCGGGCCCTTTCACAGGGGAGGCACTGAGGCTGGCAGAGGTGCTGCACTGTGTCTAGTGTGAGAGTTTGAGAGAGGGAGCTGGGAACCCCCAGTGTCTCCATGTCACACCAACCCCACTTCTCTCTGGTCTAGGTCTTCTAGTGTTTGGCAGGGTCTGAGCCTTGACAGTCCCAGATCTTACGTGTCACACTTTCTTCATCCTGACTTTGGGGGTATCTCATAAGCCCTGTGCCAGCCTGTGCCCACATGCTCCATCCAAAAGACTTTTCTACACAGAAAGTTGGAGCTGGCTGAGAAAAGGCAATGGCTCAAGCTGTGCCTCTTCCCCAGTGATTACCCCCAGTGTATAGAGGCTGAGGACCTGGCCCAACGTCACACAGCTATGGCGGAGAGGTCATCTGTCCCAAGTTGGTAATGAGGCTGAAGACACCGAGCACTGTGTCTGGCACGTGGGGCGCTGGGATGGCCTGCCTTCTTTTTTCCAGGGCCCAATCCTATTCCAACCCCACAACTCTCTGGGGAAGGACAGACGCTTGTTTTGGAAGAAGTCTTAGAAGGACAGACACTCCCAGAGATCTGTCTTGCCCTCCCCAAGAGCCTCTGACCCAGAAGGCACAGGCAAGAATGGTGGCAAGGGGGTGTTTGGTGTGGGGATAAGGCCACTGTTGCCAGAAGGGGAAACAGAAGAAGAGGTTTTAACCCTCTCTTGGCTTCCTCAGTTTACACTGAAAGTGCTGCATGGCTGAGAGAACACCAAAGACAGGAGTCAAAGCCCCAGCTCTGCGGCCACTGCCATGCGACCCCTTCAGACCCTGCCTTCTCTGGGCCTCATCTGCCTGTAAAACCAGGAGATGGGGCCCAGATTGAGGCCTGCTCTTTCTGTGAGGAGGAGGAGGTGGCTTTGGGGAGGGCAGTCCCCTCACCAGCACCCCCTCAGCAGTCATGTGCCAGGTCCGGCCACGCTGCTTCGGGCGTCTGTCTCTCTGTTACCAGGTCCCACCCTCACTTCCCTCAGTCAGAGGTAAGGGCAGATCGAGACAAAAATGTCCACCTACCGATCATATGTCACTTCCAGATTCCAGTCCCCCCATCCCCCGCCCCGGTCTCCTGCGCTGTTCTCTCTACTCAACCCCCAAAGTGAGAGGATCTGGTGCATAGGGCTCCCTGGAGTGCCTACAGAGTGCGCCCCACCCAGCCCACACCAGGGGGTGCACCCTGCCAGATCTGGGCCCACATACCCCGTCATCTTTGGCGGTCTCCGCTTCTGATACTCCCGTTCGTCCACTGTCCACACGGCGCCCTTGACATTTTCCACGCGCACAAAGCATTTGTGCAGGCTGAGGTTGTGCCGCACGGCGTTCTGGGGGTACAGGGGTGAGAGCAGATGCTCAGAGGTAGTACAAAGGGAAAGTCCATGTCCTACCGGCCCTGGCCCAGGGCAGGCCGGCAAGCCACCCTGAGGAGGAAGGCCCTCTCCTGACTTCGGGGCCGGGGGCTGCCAGCGCCTTCTACCACCCAAGGTCACCCACTATCTAACCCCCTTCTCCTGCCACAGTCGGACAATACTGTCTATCAACTAACAGATACCTAGTTAGTAGTAATGTTTTTCCATCACCATGAATCAAAGGCACCACGGGCAAGCCCTGGCGCTTCGGTGAGCCCAACACGCCCCATCTCAGGTGCATGCAGTTTTCCATGAAGCTTTCAAAAGTTTTAGAAAGAGCACATAAACCCTCATTGCACCTGCCAACACCCCTGGGAGTGTGGAAGCCGTGGCTTAGAACAGAGAGCTCACTGAGAGTATACAGTAGAGGCCTAATATGTACTTGCTGAAAGAAAGAAACCAGAAGAGTGTGGGCTTAGCAGCTGCAAGGCAAGAGGAGGAGAAGAAATGTCACCTTGTCACTCCCACCCCCTCCCGCAGGATAACTTCAGGAATTGAGGTCATGTGGTTTATAGGACACTTGGGTGAGGGTGGGGGTGCTTGGCCCAGTTCCCCTCCTGGGAGCCTGGGCTGGGGCTCTCATCCACCTCCCCCCATGCCCCTCAGTCCTGTCCCTGTACTCTCCTCTCAGCTTCCCTCCCCTTTTCCCAGCCCCTAGCTGTCCCCGTCCCTGTTACCTGTCCTCCCTCAGCCTCCCCCCCTTGTCCCCATCCTTGTCTCCTCTTTACATTTCTAAACGGGGAAGAAAGCAGGCAGGGCGGGCAGCCCGTGCCCCTGGAGATCCCCTCTCCCTCTCTCCCTTCCAACTCTTGCCACTTGCAACTGGCCCGATTTCATTACCAATTTTAATTTGCCTCTAATTAAATCCTGTGTATTTTTCCGACTCGCTTGCTAATCCACGAGGGAGGCGGGCGGCTGGAGTGGAATCTCTTGGAGCGATAATTACAAAGGGCCTAATCACGCCGGGGCTCCTGCCTCGGAATAAATTTGCCCGCATTACGGGGCTCCGATCCTCCGCTTTGCAAATGAGAATGACCCCAATTTCCGAGGATGGCCTCACCGGGGCTTTTTTCCCTCATTTCGAAGCCTGATTCGTGATGAGAGACTAATTCGTTACGCTGAAACATTAACGGCAATTTAAGGGGTCTGGAGGGGGCTGCGTAAACAAAAGGACTGGCCCACAACATGGGCCCTGGGAGAGGACGGGCACAGGGGAGGGCTGGCGAGGACCATCAGCTTGGCAGATGGCAGCTCTGTCCCAGGGTGAACAGCAGCTGGCCTGCCCCATGCTGGCTCCCAACCCTCCTGCCCTGGGCTGAAGTGGACTGCAGCTCAGGATGGGGGCCACAGAGGGTGAAGGAGGGCGTGAAGGAAGCTGAAAGAGTGGTGCCGAGATGACAGGAGGGGCAGAAGGCATGTAGACAGGGTGTAGACGGGGTATGTTTCCCGAGTAACACGTATGAAGCTTGACTGTAAAAATGCTAAAGGCCAAAGTTGATCTGGAGCGGAGATGGATTCTGCTGTGCCCACGGAGGCCACCTTAAGTGGCAGAAACAGCAGCAGAAGCACCGCTAACTAGGAAGGCCACCCATGCGATCTTTCACAGCGGCTTCTTGTTAAGTGAAGGGGGACGGAGGTGGAGACCTGGGCGGGGGTGGGGGGCTTGCCACTGAGATGACCGAGGCTGGGCAGCCATAGGCGGTCCAGAGGCTGAGGGGGTAGGGAGTGGTGTGGTGATAGTCAAGGGACTGAAGGACATCACCTAAACCAGTTCTTCCTGATCTCAAGAACAGAGAGAAGCAAAAGTTACAGTGGGCTAAGACAGTTTGGAGAGCAGGAAGGGAAGGTGGAGTGGGACTCTGCCCCCAAGGGGTACAAGTGATCAGACGGAAGCCCTGCATGGTTACCCCTAAAAATAAGGTGTTATATGCAACATTCAAGTGAAGCACTGCATGATAAATATAATGATACCTAATGTTTGTGCAGGACTCTCACCATTTATAAAACCTGGGAACTGAACTGGCCGAGAGGTTGGAGACTGGACCAGGTGGTCTTGTCTCAGAGTGTGCAGGACTGTGATTGGCAAGAAATGACATCACTCACAGCCAATGAGAGCTGGTGTCCCAGGCTGGCCGCCTCTCCCAAGCTTTGGGAATTGGGTTCGGGGATAGGGAAGGTCATGGAGTACTCCCTCCTACTGCACTAAGCATACTCCTGGGAGAGAAAAGACTGGGCCCTGTGCAGACCCCACCCAGTACCAGGCACAGGTGGGGAGAGGACCTTAGCGACACTTGTTGAAACCTGGTGGGATTTGGTGGTGGTGGCGGCAGCCAGGGCTGGGGATAGTTTATTTAGCTGCAAATTCTTCACTGAACCAGCAGGGGGACTCAAGAGCCAGGGATCTAATGAAGGTCTGCGCTAGGGCCTCCTGCGGTGTGTAACCTCCCCTGGGCTGCCAACACTCCCAACTTCCTTCTACCCCTCCCAATATAGATATCGCTTCCTACCCTGCTGCACACACCCTAATATTTTCACCAATCTCTTTCACATACTATCTTAGCTATAATTAAAAAAAAATGGTCTAGTGTCCCAGCCCACATTTCCGTGTTCCATTTTCCTAGTGTCCCTCCCTTGCCTGCCTCTGGTCCCCTAGGAAAACTCTTGTGGCTGAAGATGTTGAAAATGACTAATTGGATGGAGACAATTACCTGCCTGTTGCTGATGGCAGAGCTGGGGAGAGTGAGTGCCTGTTTGTGCCTGTGTTTAGTCCATGGTCTCTCGGTCCATGCACATATCTACCCCCATCTTCAGAACACGGGCTTTTAGCTCAGGTATCTGGACCCTTAGAGTCTCCTGTGAATATGACCCAGCCTCCCTCCCTCTTGGCTCCCACACACCGAATGCTGGAGGCTGGAGCCTTTGGGGCCCGTGGGGGAGCACCCCTAAGAAGAGTAGGGTTTCTTTCCAGAAAGAGGGCAGCACAAGGCTGGAAGGAAGGGGGTCACTGAGAGATGGTTAGCAGACATTCCACAGCCCCTGTGAAATAGTGGTGCCGAGATGACAGGAGGGGCAGAAGGCAGGGGGTGGAGGGGCCCATGACCCAGCTGGAGTCCTGGTGGGGCCACTTCTATATAGCTGCCTCCCCAAGGGTGAGGCAGGTTTGGTCTCCAAGGGTGACTGGGGCCCTGGGCCAGCTGGCAGGGGCATGCCTCACCTTCCAGGTGGCAGTGTTTCTCCGGAAATAAGCAAACATCCTGGTGAACCAGTTATAGATCTCATTCAGGGTCAGCTGCCTGTCAGGGGTTTCCAGAATGGCCTGTGGGCAGGGAAGAAGCAGAGTCCCTCAGTATGGGCCTTGAAGGTTCACAGGCCTGTGCTCTCTCTGCCAGGATCTCTTTCTTCTGCCTGGTCCCTAACTCCCCTGAAGACAGATGACACCCAAGCCTCAAAGGTTAAGCATGTGATCAGGCAGCACACGGTGTCTTCTGGAGAGAAGACAGCTTCAGTGCCCCTGGCCTGTAGAAGGAAGGAAAGCAGTATTTTTGGGGAGAGAGATGTCCAGGGTGTTGGAATTTATCCTGATTTTGGCAAAGGGCCTAAGCATGAAATGGGGAGTATGTGTACAAGAATATGTGTGAGCGTGTGTATGTGTGTGTGGGACCATCAGAGAGGACATGTGTAAATGCATGTTCATGTGAATGTGACCCGGGCATTAAGGACAAGAGGATTACAGACACACGGGCAGGAACAGAGGGGGCTGTTGGGAGGGAGGGAGAAGAAGGAGGAGACTAAGGGTGGCCACAGTCTATCAGAAAATAGTTTCATGGGAGTGTGGGTAACAGGGATGAGAAAATGAATGTCATAGTGGGTGTGAATAGCAAAAAATAGTGTGTGTCCCCAGAGACACGTCCGAGTGACCAGCAGGCTGACTGAGCTGGAGCCTGCAGGAGAGGCCCTATCGCTGAGAAGGAAGCACACTTGGGCGCGGAGAAGACAGGTGTGAGGGGGAAGTCACATCTCTGGCCCAGGCCCTGCAGGCTGGGTGATGCAGCCTGTGCCATTCCCCAGCCCCTCCCCCCACCACCTGTGCTCACCTGGCGGATGAGGGAGGCGTAGGTGAAGGGGGGCCTGACATCAGCGTTCTTGTAGAACTCATGATTCTGGGCCAGCTCTAAGGGAGACAGCAGAGGATGAGATAGCCAGATTGGCGGCGGTACCTTAGGGAAAAAATGCCCCTCCCCTGCAGCCCTTACCTGAGGAGATGGGGGAGCAGAATTTGTCACTGCTCCTCCTGCGGGCAGGGCCCCCACTGTGCAGGGAGGCAGAGCCAAGGCCAGGGGGCCGGAGGGGGGTGACAGGGGCAGCAGCTGAGGTGGGGGGGTGCACCAGGCCATCCGGGAATGAGTCTGCTGCAGAGATGGTCACCTTGGAGAATGGGGAGGAGCCAGGGATCGGGTTCAGCTGTGAGCAATGGGGTGGGTACTGAGACCAGCCCCGAAGCGTGGGGGTCCCTCGGGTCCAGGGAAACGTGGAGGAGCTGTGGGAGGCTGGCAGGGCTGAGTCACTCACCGGCTGGCTGAAGGGCTTGGGCTCAGAGGGCCGCATGTGCAGATGGGCCATCATGGCCTGCAGCCTCTCACTCTCCTTCGCAAGCTGTGGAGAGCCAGGATTGAGCAATGGGTCTTCTGCCTCCTCCACACACACACACCCCCACTGGAATCCCCATCACCACTCTCATCCTGGCTCCCTCTGTCCATGTTCTGGGAAGGCCTTGGCTCTTTGTGCCTCTCAGACCCCTCAGACCCTCCAGGTCAGGACCAGGGGTCCCTGGTTTACTGAAGTTCTCTGTGATTCTCCTCCAGACTGTCCCAGCCTCCAGCTCATCACAGATACTATAATTTGGGGATCTTTTCTCCCCATAGAGGGCAGAGGCTGTATCTGAACAATACCAGAGTTCAGTAGCATTTGTGTGTGTGTGTGAAGGGGTCTTCATACTGAATGGAGACTCAGAGGTGGATGAATGATTCATTCAACCCCATTCATAAATTCAATAGATCATTCACAACTACCCTTGCAGGCAGGGCATGCTGCTAGGTGCCACAGCGAAATGGGTAAATATTGATTGACTGCTTGATGGACTGTCCCGGAGCCTCTCGAGTACTCTGCATTATCCAGCTTAAGTTCGGGAGCCAGACTGCCTAGAGGCTAATCCCAGCTCTGCCACCCACTAGCTGTATGACTGGAGGCAAGTCACTTCACCCCTCTGTGCCTCTGTTTTCCATACCTGTAAAGTGGGGATAATAACAGTACCCGCCATATGAGGTTGTTTAGAGATTCCGTGTTATATAAAGTATTGAGTACAGCATAAAATGCTCACTACATAGCTGTTAATACTTTTGTTGTTATTAGCAAGAGTCTCTCCTGGACCTCCCAGCAGAGATGGCCCCCAACCTTGGTCATTCCTCAGGATCCAGCTGTCCTTGCCTCACGACCATGGTAACTAGGACCTAGAACACCTAAGGTGATCCTTCCACGTGACCCCCTAAGTCCCAACCAGAAAGACAGTTTTGTGGAGGGGTCTGGACCCCTACGTGCCTCCCCCACATCCGGGGGCCACACCTGGATCTCCAGCTGTTGCACCACCTGCATCTGCACCCGGCACTGGGCTGTGCTCCGGTCGTCCAGGGCGTGCTCTGTGTTGAGGTGTCTTCCAGGGGACGGAAGGGGAAGAGAAAGTTGGTTTCCCTGCTGTCACCACCCTCCACCCCCTCCTCTAATCCCGCCCACAGCCTGGAAAGCATACAGACCAAGGATACAAAGAAGGGGAAGAGGTGGGAAAAAGATGGGGCAACGGAGGAAACCGCCTTCTCGTCAGCCTTCTTTGATGTCTTTGCTAAAATCCCAGCTACAGAGAGATCTAATTGCAAATGAACTAATTAAGTAAACCTCTGACGAAGCGTGAAAACAATTTGTTTGACCCTGATGCTGCAAGGGTCTGGGAGACAGCAGAGTTAATCAGTCAGTGACAGAGCCTGGCATGGCTGTGGCAGCTGGCTGCCTGCTGCCAGCCGCCTGTCCACCTCCCGCCCTGCCTGTCCAGCAGCCCTGGCTCTAGGCCATCACTCTCAGGGGCTGAGCTGGGAAGCTGGAGCGGGGAAGGCTGTGGGGGAGTCCTCGGCGGCGTCTCCTCGTACCCCCACCTTGCTGAGCTCTAGCAGGCTGGGAAGGGGGAAGGGAGGCTTGGGCCTAGAACAGACTGGGGGAGGGGATGGGGGGGGATCGGAATGCTCAGGGAGTTGATAGGGGGGAGGCAAGAAAGGAATAGGCCCTCCTGGGGTGAGAATGACAGGAAAGCTGGTGGCTGAAGGTCCAAGAAGGGGCAGACTGGATGGCAAGCTAGAGGGGTGAGGGGCCCTGTGGGGAAAGGCTGCCGCAGCGGGAGCAGGGCTAAGGGAAAGGAGAGCGAGTGACACCTACTTGATGAACTGGCCCAAGTCTTCACACAGGGTCTCACAGCCTGGCCACTTGCACTCTCCGTGTCCGTAAAGGGGGTGGGAGCCAGGCGCCTCCTCATGGGAAGAACTAAGAGGGCAGGAGGAGGGTGGTGGTCAGAGCCCCTGAAGACCCCAGTGACCCTGAGTCCAGCTCAGCCTCAGCTCCTCTGCTGATAATGTTTTTTTGTTGTTGTCCCTAATAAGGTTTTCCTGAAGGCCAAACACAATTCTGGGTGCTCCCAGAGAGATAAACTGGGTTCCTGAGCACCACCCTCCCATTTGGCCCCCACCACATTGTTGTCCCTTGGGGTCCAGGTCTGCCCTTGGCCATTCTGCAGCGCCCCTTCCCAACCTGGGCTTATACCTGTCTCTCCGAGGTGTGAGCACAGTGGGCTGTCCGTTGGGCAGGGTGTGGTGGGAGAGGGGAGGTGAGACTTTGGGGGGGGCGGCAAACGAGGTAGCGGTGGTGGCCGTGCCAGTGAGGTCCAGCCCCTCCTGCTTGACGCTGTCCTCGGCGGGCTGCCCGGGGGCACCCTCGCCCTTCCACAGCTGGGGCAGGTCAGTCGGGCACACGGCTGCTGTGGGAAAGGGAGAGAGGGGGCTGGCAGGGCCCGAAGGACACATGGGGCCTCCCCATCTCACCCCCAGGAGGAGAGGAGGGCCACTCACCTTGCGGGAGGGTCTGGAGAGGCCCAGAGGCTTGGTTGGGCTGCAGGCTGACCAGCCCTTGTCTCTGCAGGTTGAGCAGGTGCTGCTGCTGCAACTGTTGCATTTGCAGGAGCTGCTGCTGGAAGGCCAGCTGCTTGTTCCCCAGTGCCTGGTGGGAGGCCCGAGGGGGCGGGCAGAGAGGGGTGCCGTTGGCCTCAGGCGTGCCATCTGGCCCCCACCCTGCGGCCACCCCCTCCCACGGCCTGTCAGTCCCTGGAGCTGTCGTTGCTGCGTCCGCAGCTGCGGCTTCTCTGCTCCCGGCCCAGCTTCCATAGGGCTGCATGCCTCCTCGCAGTAAACACACGCATGCACGCACGCACGCGCGCGCACACACACACACACAGCCAGCCCCAGACACGCAGCACGACGCCAGCCTGCTCCCGCCTCCCTCCTTCCGCTCCTCAGCTCCCGCACCGCAGCTGTGCGCACGCCTGGGGGGGCGCTCATCAGGATGATCGATGAGCCTGTCAGCCTCTGGGGGCCACTCCCGCCTGGCAGGCACCCTTCCCACATGCCCGGGGTGCCCCCCTTCTGCTGAGGTGGGGCCGCCTACCCACCCCCCACCCCCCCCAAGCTCCTCTCCTCTTCTGCCGCTTAGATACAGAGAATAAGGAGTCCCATGGACTTTGAAAGATCAGCATCGGCTGGTGATGGGGACCAAGCTCAGGGACTAGCCAGGCAGGCCGCTGCCGGGGCTGCACTTGCTCACTCCTGCACTGGGTCACTCTCTCCCAGACTGAGTTCTTCACACAGGCACTGACAAGTCAGGCTGTCAGCAAGTCTTTTCTGAGCTCTGGGAGTCAAGCACGTCCTGGGTGCTTGGGAGGCAGAGATGCCTCTGCCTGCCTGCCTGGAGGGGGGGTGGGGGCAAGGGGGGGTGGCAATGCAATATACCCCCCCCCTAGAGATAATGCATTGATTACAAGGCCACTGAGGGGGAGACTGGGTCAGCAGGGCAGCCTTCTGGGAAAGATGTAACTTGGAACTTGGCTGTGGCTGGGCTAGCAGGAAGGAGGTGCATGTCTGGGATGTGGCGTGGGGCTGAAGGGTTGATATGAAGCTCAGGAGGCTCTGTGGCCCATGGGGCAGGGCGCGTAGGCTGGGGAGCTCTGAGCACACTGTGGGATAGCTGGAGGGGCTGGGCAGGATGTTACAGGAAAGGGCAGAAGCTGGGGTGGGGCTGGAGGGTGTGTGTGGTTTGCTGAGGGACTGAAAGATTCTCAGGACCAGAGTGGAAGGCTGAGGGGCTGGGTTACCAAGACAGGGGGCAGGAGAGGGCTGAGGACAAGGCTGCCCTCTGGCACCCACATAGCACTATGCACATGTGCATGCAAGGCTCAGCCTCCCAGGGCGGTAGTCCAACAACTTGAGGCAAGAAGAATAGCGGATGGGATGAGGCAAGAGAGACGTGAGCCCACTCCCCGTCTCCCCACACTGCCAGATCCCCTCCCTCTCCTTGTCCTCATTTTTCTACTCTCCCCACAGGCATTTCTCTCTGGCCACTGTGGAACTCCTGGCCAGGGGAGGCTACGCTGTAGGCAGTGGGGCAGGGGTCCTCTGTGGGGGAACACCCAGACCTGCCAGACCCTTACCTCTTTGGGTGGCTGCTTCCCAGCCTGCTGTTGGGTGAGGAGTTGTAAGTGGAGCTGCTCTTGCTGCTTCTTGTAATATTCCTGCAGCTGAAGGGAGTGGGGACAGCAGGGGTAGGAGTGGATTGCCCATCCAGGACACTACTGGCCCCAGAACCACCACCACCACCACCACTACCACCACCCCCACCCTCCCCAGTCATGACTGGGCTCCTGGAGGTAAGAGTGGGCTGGCAGGGAGATATCTACTCTAAAAGGGGGTCCCAGCAGGGCCTGGCTGGGGAGGGAGTAGAGATTTCCTCCTATAGTTCTGAATCCCTGGGGTCTCTTGGGGGGGTCCCCATTCAGGACAAGGTGCCAGGATGTTATAGTCCTATGAATTTCCTTGGGGTTCTGGAGATAGTGGTGGGGTCAGCACACAAGGAGGAAGTAGGGGGCGCTGCTGTGGGAAAGGCCTGGGCCTCTGATCCGTCCCCAGCTGCCCTGGAGGAATGCAGATCAGGCCGGCCAAGACAGCACCTCTGGTTGCTGCCACTGCTTTGGCCCTCGGTGATGTTGGTAGTAAACAGGGTGGGAGGAGGGAGGCCAGTTCCTACCTGCCCCCCTTTTCCCTCACTTCCCAGCTACCCTGGGGCCAGACTCACCTGCTGGAGCATGAGTGCCTGTTGCTGCTGAAGCAAGGCCTGCAGCTGGGGGGGCGACAGGATCTGCTGCATTTGCTGGGGAGTAAGCATCTGCGGGGACATCATGGCCACCGACACTGGCACCTGTAGGATTGGGCGTTAGCCTGCTCACCTCAGGGAGGGCCGCAACCTAGGCCCCACCCACAACATGGGGGAGAGGCTCAGGAGTGCGACTGCCTGGGTTCAAGTTCTGATTCTATCACCCATTAGTTTCAGACAAGTGACTCTCCTGCCTGTTCTGTATTCTGGTCTCTGAAACAGAAGTAGCAATGGTGCCTGCCTCTCAAGGTTCTCAGAGTTCACACTCAGAATACAGCCTGCCATACAATAAGTGCTCAGAACCTGGCATTATTGCGGATGTGCCATCTCCGCAGGGCACACAGATCGGACCCTAGTGATGCTGCTCAGAAGTCAGTGCTGTGGAGGAGGCCCCCAGGGATGCAGAGGGCTGGCAGGGGCCAGACCCAGCTCTTGCTTAGTCTGTTCTGCAAACACCATCTACAAGGTGGCCTGGCCGGGAGGGGAGCCTGTACCTAGGGAAGAATTCAACAGTGGCCCCGTGGTGGGAGTGGGCCTGCACTTTGTCTCTGCTCATGTCCATGTCACATCTACATACCTGTTAATGGCACACACAACATACCTGTTAGATGGCTGAAGCCCAGGGGATGCTGTTGGTGCCATGTGAGAGAGGGGGTGTGTGTGTGTGTGTACTCTAGCAAGTCACTTGCCCTCTCTGGGTGTCAGTTTCCTTGACTATAAAGTGGGGACTGATTGAATTATAACAGATGACTCCTTTCAGATGCAACCTGCAGAATTCTCAGAGTAGAGCAGCTTTCTGTCCTGGGTTAGACCTCTGTAGGAGGCCAGTGAAATCTAGCTACAGGTAAAAGGTTCAGGGGAAAGCAGTAATACTGTTCTTTTCCCAGCCCCACCTTCCCTGAATCCCCCGGGCCTGTGCAGTCATAGGCAAGGAGGACCAGGGGCCTGTGTGAGCACGACAGGCCCCAATGGGGACATCTGCCACCGAAATCACATGTAGTCTTCTCTAATCTCCCCTCTTACCCCCAAGCCCGAGCTAGTGCCCAGCACACAGCAGGCACTTACTACATGTCCTTCACTCCCCTGAGCCAGGAAATGCCTTCCCCAGCAGATCAGAGGCCCCTCTGCCAGCCCTGGGCCAGGGAGGGAGGTGAGTCCTGCAGGGACTTGTCCTGGGCAGGATGTGACCGGTTAGGTCCACCAGTGGTGCAGGGGAGGAATGGTTGCCTTCCGGATCCCTGGCAGGGGCAGGACTGTCTTAAGGTACCAGTTAGGGAATTACCCCACAGCAGAGCAACCAAGGAAGTGCAGTGGGTTCAGGGCCATGGGGAAGCCCCACACCCCCAACCTTCTCCAGATGAACAGAATGAATATTGAGCCCAGTCCTCGGCCGGCTTTCCTGCTGTATCCTAGCCGTCTCTGTGCAAATCTCCCAGGAGGAGCCTGACCCAGCTTTTTAGACACGGCAAAGCCAGGTGAATGAAGGGGCCTCTAAAGAGGAGCTCTAAGTGGCACAGCTGGGATTGAAACCCAGGCCTGTGTTGACTACAGGTTTCAGGGACATGCTTCTGCGCCCTATATGGCCTCCCTCATCTCAAAAGCAGGTCTTGAGAAGGAACCAGGAGAGTGTGTGGAAACCAAATCATCCAGGAGGTTGAAGGTGGATGAGACCAGCATCCCCAAAGGCCAACTGCTCTCTTTACAACTACACCTAAGGAAGATTCTGGAAAGCCAGGTCCTCACTCTGGGAGAGGCCTGGGTTGGGGGCAGAAAATGGCACCAACTGCCCCCCTTGCAGAGCTGTCCCCGTGCCCACTGTTGGAGGCCCCAGAGGCAGGTGGGTGGCTGATCAACTCTCCCTTCTCTCCTCTTCTTGCAGGGTACCCAGCATGGTGGGGCTGAGCTCAGAGCCCTGTATTTCTGAGTCAGGTGACCTAGATTCTTGCCTCTGACATTGACTTTTATTTGAAATCAGCAACCTCAACTTTCCCCATCTGCTAACGGGGGTTCAGAATACCTGCCCTCCCTGCTTTACAGGACTACACAAGAGGATACTGGTGATTGCTATTCAGATGCTAGACACAGCTTTATGGGTATTCTCACTGAATCTTCCCCACAGGCCTGGGAGGAGGGCATCGTTTCACAGAAGAGAAAACTGAGGTCTAAGGAAGTTAGACCTCAGTCTTGCCCTCCAAGACACAGTGGAAGAAGGGATACGTGAAAGTGATTTTTATGCCTTGAAATTCTATACAGATGTAGAGAAAATCACATTTTAAAACATTCTGGATTTTCTTTCCCCCTCTTTTCTATTCTCCTTTCCTCTCCCCTCTCCACTCTTGTGCCTACACTGCACCGCGGCCTCAGAGGGCAATGGTGGCCAGGCCACTTGGCCCACGGCAGCAGACCACTTCTCCTCACTTCATGGAGGGAGCTGAACTAGAAACACGCCAGGTCCACGGCTGGGAGACTGAGACTAGACACCCGGGAGAACTTTCCAGGCACCAGCAGTGAGTCACTGTGAGAGACATGCAAGAGAGGATGTGGCTTTTCCTTCCTTGGGGCTTTCCTACTCAGAGGCAGGGGAATGGCAGAGATGGCCCTGGAAGGCCTCCTGGCCCCTGCAGGTTTCTGCCAGCTGGCGGAGGAGTTGCTGGAGAGGCAACTTTGGAGATGTGGATGGATTAGCCTGGCTGTACTTGTCTCTGAGGTGGCCCAATGGTGTCAAGAAAGGTCAGTGAGGTGGCTGCAACATGCTGACCTCTTGAGCTGGTGGACCCCATCCACTCCCCACCCCACCCTTTGAAGTTCTTGAGAATGGAGTTGGAGTCCCCCCGGTGTCCCAGTTCACCCCTCACCAGGCTACGATATGTTAGGATGGGTACTGTTGGCAAGTTGGCTCAGCAAGGCCCGTGAGTGAGTCACTGTCTGGAGAGCGGCCAGGGCAGCTAAATGCTTACTAAAGCCCTGGCAGTATGAGCCCAGGGCTGGATGCCGACAGCTGCCTCCAGCCCCTCCCTCAGGACCCCATCCTCCCCCACCCATTAATACAGTGTGCTGGGCTGTCAGGGAGGAAGTTTATTACAGGGCTTAGGGTTGTGATGCATACAATTGGGTGTCAGAATCAAGGACCCAAACTCAACCTCTTTGTTATGGAGCTTGCGGTCCCTGGGTGAGTGGGGAGCCTGGCTAAAGCTTGGTGAAGGTTAAACTCCTTTGCAAATGAACAGAAGAAAGTCCTCAGACTAGCTCTGGGCTGGAGTTGCAGCAAGAACATAGTGGTAAGATACCAAGAAGATCTTCTAGAAATACTAGAAGGGTAGGCCTGAAGGGAGCTGAAGTGAGACAAAGGCTGGACAGAACTAAAAAGCCACATCCCAGTTCCCCCTGCCCACACTGCCAGCCACCTGCACTGCCTTCTAGGATCGCCCTTGTCCAGCCTGAGCACAAACCAAGCAACCTCTAGGCTGCAGCTGGAGGTCTAATATGGTTTTACAAACTCCTCTGATGTTGGCTCTAGGACCAGGATGGTGAGCATAGCGGGGAGGTGGGTGGGGAGGCAATTTTGCCTCAAGTTTAGGGAGCAGGCCAGAACCCTGGGGTGCCATGGGGAAGGGGCTTCCATTCATCTTGCTTCCTACCCTTTGTACTCAAGCCCCAAGTCCACAAAGAACATGTTTCTACAGGGCAAGGGAGAAACCCAGCCCTTACTCTCCATCCCTGTCAGCCTACAGTTTATAGAAAAGGTATTTCTAGACCTTGGACCCCACTTGGGGACAGAAGTCTCACCTTCCTGGAGATTTTAAACTTGAATGATGAGGCTGGGATGAGAGGCAAGGAAGGTATCTAAGGTTGGGAGATGAAGATCAACAGTTGGGGCTCCAGGGGGAGTTTAGACATAGACCAGAGAATCCCATCTCCCTGAGGGCAGAGAACCTCCAGTCAGGGCTCTGAACCCAGGGGCTGCTGGTGTTCATTACTGTGCTAAACACGTGGGCAATGTCACAGGGTAGCCGGTGTGTCTTCTGGAGCTAGCTGTTTGATTCCAAAGCCTGGCTCTCCTCCTTATTAGCTGTGTGAATTTGCACACAAGTTTACTTCTCTCGGCCTCAATTTGCTCATCTGCAAGACGGTACTAATAACAGCATCTACCCTATAGGATTGTGAGGATGAAATGAGATGATACTTGCAAAGCACTTCATGTATGCCCCACGGTAAACAAACACTCTGAGAATTTGGTTGCATGGGAAGTACTGATAAGTATTTGCTGAATGAATCAAAGTATGAATTTATTGGGAAGTGAAGAAGTGAGGAGAGAGAAGGCCTGAGAAAAGGGTCATTTCATCTGTCCCTTGGACCAAAACTTTCAGGTTGAAGCCATCCAGAGACCTCTTTGGTTTGGAGGGAGAGGATCCGCAGCCTCCTTGCCTTTCTCAATTTCACATCTCCTAGGCCTCGTACCCAACTGCAAAATCCTTGGTCCCTGACCTGAGCTCTCCAGCCACCAATAAGCTTCTTCCTTTTTGCCTTGGGTCAGCAAGCCCTTTCAGGTTTGGGGGAGCATTTCTGTTTCCCAGTCTGTCCCTCCCTGTTCTTAGAAAGCTGGGGTCAAAGAACTCAAAAGAGTAGCCCAATGGCCACTTCAGACCCAGGGAGTACACATGCGGGTCCGTAATCGAAGAGACCCAGTCTGGACATGATACAACATGAGAAACTTGTACAACATTCTAGCATGAGAACTTTCCTTCTTCCCATTATTCACTTTCCAGATTTTGTCCCTCTCTCTGCCACCCGGGTCGAACTGTGAAGGACTGTGTATCATTAGGTTCAAGACTTAAGGTACTTGAGACTTAGGTTCAAGGGGCTAGGGCACCTTGAACTTCTTCAAGGCTCTTTCAGAAGATGGGCCTGTTTTACGTAAAACCCAGATACTCTGCAAAGTCAGAGCACTGGGGTCACCGCCTCCCATCCCCCCACGCCCCCACCTCAGGACAAAGTGCAGCTCTGGGTCCTTCTCCCAGCACCAGGCACCTCATTCCTACCCTCCACTTCACTTCCCTCCTTTCCTCAGCACCTGCCCCCTCAACCCCCCCAGCTTCTGGCCCAGGATCTAGCCCACCCTTCCTCCCTTAGATAAACTTCCTTTCAAAGCCTAGCTTAATCCTCTCCCCAATTCTGAGCCTCCCAGGCTGCTGCGGGGAGGTGTGGGGGTAGTGAGGAAGCTTGGCTGATGAGGGGGAGGGGAGCAGGCTGCCCCAGTTGTGACCCAACCCGGAATCAGACTGCAATTCTCCCAAGTTCTTTGTGACACAAAAGGTAAACAGAAGGTCCGGCTTACCCCCCCGCCCACCCCCCACAGATCTCCCCTCCCCCAGACAGCCAGATGGGCCGGCAAGCTGGGGGAAGGGAGAGGGGGGAAAAAGGGCAGATTGTCCAAAGGAAAACAAAAGAGACAGAGAGACAGCAAGAGACAGGAAGCTCGGGGAGCCTGGAGAGTTGGTGGGGGAAAGGTAAGGTGGGGGGGGGGGTGCAGTGACCTCAGCAACCGAGAGCAGAGAGCAGAGGGTCTGGAAGGGGAACAGAGGGACAGGCACTGTGACCCACAGAGGTGGAGAAATGCAAACCCTGGAGAGAGCTTGAGGGTAGAGACCCTGAGGGGAGAGCCAGGGAAGAGGCTGCAGGCACAGGTAGAGACTGAGAGCCCAGGCAGGCGGAGACAAAGACCAAGCTGAGGAAGGCCTAGGGGATCAAATGAAGACAGAAAGTGGAAGCTCCTTTGCTCTCTGCCTGTACCAACTGCATTTCCTTCTGGAAAAATGCCCACTTTCTGGCAGTGGGGACTGGCAAGAGCAACTGGGTTGTTTCCTCCCTCTGTGCCAAGCCCACCCTTCCGACCTGGGGCCTGGACCCAGCCCAATGCCAGCCAAGGGCCCTCCTCCTCACCTGCACGGCAGAGGCCGACTGCTTGCTCTCATTGTTCCCAGGGGAGCTCAGGCCTGAGGCCTGCTGCAGCAGGAACTGCCGGGCCACCTGGAGAGCCTGTAAGATAGGGGCTGAGTCAGCGGTACCTAGGCCTGGGTGGGAGGTCAGGAGTCAGCAGGATCCAGGGTTCAGAAAGATTTTGATGGCTGTGAAGGGTAGGTGGTCAGGGAAAGCTGGAAGGTCTTGGGGGGTGAGTTATAAGGTGACAAGGTCCACCTGGCTTGGGGCAAGGATAAAGGTGGCAGGAGGGTGTCACTGAGAGGAGCAACCAGGGTTTGTGGACCAGAGCCTATAGGAACTCACTCTGGTTGCTGGCAGCCCCATAGCATATGGAAGAGCCAATGGCCAAAAAGGAAAGCAGTGCAGTTGGTGGACTCGGTATTATCAATAGGTACTACTGCTAAGGGTTGTACTTCACAGGCGAGATCTTATTGAAACCTTCCTGGTGAGGCTGTGAGGTAAGGATTGTCAACCCAGTCTCCAGGAAGTTAAATAACTTGCTAGGAGCCATCAGCCAGGATTTGAGGTCAGCAAGTCTGACTCCAAGGCCACCTGCCCTACTAGGTGGCCAGTATGGGGCTGAGGGCGTGCCATTCCCTGAAGTCAGAACACAGAGCTGGGGATAAGGGTACAGCCTCAGGGTCTGAGCATGGTGTGGTTTCTGAACCCAGGGGGTCACATGCAGGGTCTTAAGGTGCTTGGGGAGTTTCATCAAGTCCTGAGGAGTGTGTTTGGGCTTGGAGGCCATAATGATTTGGTCTGGAATCTGAGCTGGCACTGTAGAAGTGGAAAGTGTGTAGAGTTTACAGAAGGAGCCGTTCTGGCGTGTGAGTGGTCCTGGGATGTGGATGAGTGGGCAGTGAGAATTGGGTTAGTTAGTAGAGTGAGGAAGCTCTCCAGGAAGCTCTCCATAGGTCAGTCAAGACCTCTGCCCCCCTACTCAGGGCCATCTGGGGCTCAAATTCAAGGGATGTGCACACAAAAACCATCTGCCTCCAGGCTCCCCAAAGGCCTCCTGGGGAGCAAGAGCAGGAGGCAGCCTGTCCCAAAGGGCTCTGGTATCAGGTAGACCTAGCTTTATAGGCCAGTAGTGCCACCTATCAGCATGGTGACCTTGGCACAGTATTCCATATTCTGTCTGTGGTCCCATCTCCTGATCTACAACACTGGGCCATGGCCCATCTCGGAAACACCTGGGGGTCAAGACCAATGCCTGGCATTTAGCAGACTTTCCCTAAGGCCTATTCTTTCCCTTCTCTTGAGCTGGATGGTTCTCTCCTTCGCCTCCTTCATCCTCTCCCCAAAACGGCCCCATGCCCGATGCACTTATGTGGGGACCTGTGTCTGCTCTGGCCCCTCACATCTGTCCACACACCGTGTCCTTGAGTGGACTCCCTCCTCCCCGCCCCAAGCACTGCCAAGGCAGAACCTCGGCCCTCGTGCACTCGCACATGCTCGCCACTCAGCAAACACTTGCGGAGTGTCTGCTGTGTACCGAGCACACACTCATGCCCCCTCCGCAGCCCTCTCATCGCCCTCGTTGACCAGCTAAGCCTCCCTTGAGGCTGAAAGCGGGTTTACCTTAGGAGGGTAACCAAATACACACTGGTGTATCTATGGGAACGTGTCCCACAGCAAACCTGGACTTCAGATTAGCCTGCTCCCCCCAGCCCCCCTTCTCCTGGACCTCACAGCTGGACAATGGCCTGGGATTTCTTCTCTGTGAGATTCACTTCAGAAAGTAGAAATCTGACCTTTCTGAGACAAGAGACTCTGAGAGGCTGTGGCCAGGGGGGTGGGGTGAGGAGAGGGAGGTGGGGAAGTGGTCACCAGGAAGGGATCCATGCTTCTATCTGTCCTATGTGTAGTGACCCCCTCCAGGCAAATACTCTGTCTTCCAAAGGTAGAGGCAGGGTGAGGCAGAGAGAGGTCAGAGGTCAGGTGGTAAGAGGATGGCTAGGAGCAGCTGGTCCGCTCCGGAGACCCAGAGTGGAGAGATGAACCCCAGATCGCTGGTGTGGGGAGGGAAGCAGCAAGGGGAAGAGCCCCCCAGTCTCATGGTGGGGGGAGTGGCCCAGGAGTTGAATTCACTCCCTACAGACATTCTTACTTTGTGGTCCCCTGGAGCATGAAATTATAAGATTTACAGGAAAAAAAATGACACGGCCTTGCATTCTCATTCCTGGGAGACCTCCTATGACAGGCCCTTTGCCTCCCTGCCTACCTCTCCCCTCACTCTGGCCTTTCCTCCTGGCCTGATCCAGGGCTACCCCTTCAGGCCAGATGACAGGGAGCTAGGTAGGTCCCAAGGCCTGGCTAAGGATGTCCCCTGCTCTGGCTTCTCCCTGTCCCCCACTCACTCCTTCCTGATTCACATTTGCTGAGTGCCTACTGTGCACAGGGTCCATGCTGGGGATGCACAAAGAAACAGAACATGGTGCTTCCCTGGAGCTCACGGCTTGGATGCTATTCTGACAAAGAGGTGGGCACCAGGCTCTAGAGCTCACAGAAGGGCGGCCTCATCGCGGAAGTCTGGGAAGGCCTCCCAGAGGAGGTGGCACTGACTGGAGTTCACTGGGTTGACAAGGATGATGATGGTGTCCCTGGTAGAGACTCCTACACCACAGAGCATACATGCTGGTCATATATATTTTGATTACTGCTATGGGCCCCCTTTCAAAACTAACCACTAAACAGATTCTACGTCTTGATGTATGTCACACGTATAGTTACATTTCTGTGAAATGTATGACCCAGTGGGACCAGGGACCTCAAAACCATTCCCAGGGGTAGAAAATCTCGTTGTATTGGGGGTATTAGCAAGGGAGACTGGAGAAGCCCGCAGGTGATGAAGGTCTGATCCAAGCTCCTCAGGGCCCTCCCTCATTCATTCTTTCCCTCCTTCACTCATTCTGGGCCACCTGCTGTGCACTGACCCTGTGCCTGGAGATTGGCAGGCCACAGTGGACAACACAGTCAGTTCGTGTAATTTATTTGTTGCCCAGGGGTGGGAGTAATGGTCAGACCCTGGGGTCTGGTCCAAGCTCCCCCTTCCAGATGCCCTGGACCTGTCACTGCTCTGCCCTCCACTCCCTACCACCACTTTCACCTGGGTAAGGGCATGATGGAAGCCCTTTCACCCAGGATGCCCTAAAAGATCTGAGACTTTCCAGAGTCCCACCACTCTGACACACCAGGTGTCAAAGGCTACACTGCCTGCTGGCTCTAGGTCCTGATACGTCACTGGACTGCCCACCGAGAGGCATGGGAAAATGACAGCCCTCACCTCTGACAGATCCAGCCCCTCTTTCAGTGATGATGGCCACCAGGTGGTAACCTCCTTGAAACATCATTGCGGTGTATCCATCTTTGGGCCACGCCCCGGCCACTAGCATAGAGCAGATATGTGGTGAAATTCGTGTTATCTAGGCCGAGTGTGGGAGGCAGGCACAGGCTGAGGGAGCTGGGGAGTTAACATGTGTACAGTGCCTTGTAGTTTTCAAAACACATCTACACACGTCTAATTGAAGCTTTATAATCTTGGGCTAGGCAGGGCAGGTGTCACAGTCTCCGTCTTACAGACAAGAAAACTGAGGCTCAAGGTCCACAGCTGGGGGTGGAGTCCAGACACCTGGGTCTGCCCAGTCTCCCTGCACCCCACTGAGGGGCTGTGAGGACCTCACGCATGGGCAAGTAAAGCAAGTGAATCCACCTCCCCCCAGGGCCTGTGTGCTTTCAGCCATCTGAGTGCAAAGGGAGATGAAGCTGGTTGAGAGGGGGAAACAAGACCAAAAAAAGCATCATTAGGAGAATGATGGGCTCGGTTTCCTTTCCCGGAGGTACCCAAATGTAGCCTTGGGTGGGAAAAGGTATTTAGGTATTTTTCCCTTACCAGGGAAAAGTCATCACAGAAAACTGAGGGGAGGGACAGACAGAGAAGGAACTCAGGGAAGAACAGAAACTGGGAGCCACTTGGCCTCATAAACCTCGTTTTCCTCCTCCTCCTACCACTTGGACCGAAAACCAAATGCCCAGCTCAGGGATTTGGGGGATAAGGTTTAGGGTCCCTGTAAGAGCCCTAATTTTGCCCTCCACATACCAAATGACCTTAGGTGGGTCACTTTACCTCTTGGAGCCTTTCTCCCTCTGCAAAACAGGAGCCTGTACTTAGCTGGCAGAGCTACTGTGAAGGGTACATGGACAGTGCACATGGAGTACCCAGCAGTGACTGGCACCCAGGGGGTCCTAATGGACATTAGCTATTGTTACTATTATTAATCTTTCACATTCCCAGACAGCTCCTGGTCATCTGTCCAGTACCAGCCAGTACTAGCCAAACTCTCTTCCAGCCCACTCCTCCCCACTCCCCCTCAAGCCTAAGAACTGAGTCTTGCTAATGAAGCTGAGCTCTCCTCCCCCCATCGCCCATTCAAAAGTCATTAGCGGGATCTCCACAATTAGGAACAAATGGCTTATAACGGATGGCATCCAGGGAGGGCAGCTGGGATGGAGGGAATGAAGCCAGAGTTCTGAGGGCAACAGGGAGCTGCTGGGCAAAAGGAAAAAAAGAAAAACACATCTTATGATGGTAGGGTCTCTCATCCCCACCCCTCATGCGTGTCTTGACAATTCAGGGGGAAGGCACCTCTGCGCAGAGGCCAGGCGCAGGTCCTTTCTCCAGGTCCCAGTCTTACTTGTGTGTCTGGGAGGGTGTATGATGGGGTGATCAGGGAGACAAGCTTGAAGGGCTGAACTTGAGAGGATGGAGCAGTGGAGTCCCCCAGAGCACAGACCTGGTGAGCAGCAGTGTTAGTGTTTCTAATTTTCAAATTCTTATAATGACCTAATGGTGGATCATAATATCAACTTATTGGGTCAAAAAGTAGCCATAAATAAACACACCTAAAAAACATAGGCATTCCTGGGTAAGTGTCAGCATCTTTTCATGAAACTGTGCCGGGGTTCCAAGTCAGATGTATTTCTTACTCTAAATCTCCAGCAAAGATTGATTTGCTTCATCAATGGAGAAATGGAGGTTGTAGAGATGCTTGCCTCCA